CTTTAATCAAGAGTGGCATTGATCAATAAATATCAATAATGGTTGTCTGTGTCTGAACGCTGTCGTCTGGTGAGTCATAATGGAAGCGTAAATGTCTAGATTCAACTATATTTGTCATTGAGCAACGATTGACTACTAATAATTCATTGTCACATTTGAGTTGGCGCCTGCACTGAAATAGATGAATCCCTTTTATCTCGCTTCTCTGTGGTGTTTCCGTGTGTTGATGCTCATGTCTGTATGTCTGCTTTAAGGGACAGCAAGCTCACTATGTTGCTGAGGGAGTCGCTAGGCAACATGAACTGCCGGACCACCATGATTGCTCACATCTCTGCCTCGCCCCGAGACTTCTCCGAGACACTGTCCACCATCCAGACCGCATCTCGCGTCCTGCGCATGAAGAAGAAGAAAACCAAAGTCACTGTGGTGAGTTCCAAATGAGACAAAAATATTCAATAGTTCTGATTTTTTTTTTTTTTCTCTCCTTCTTTTTATTTACAAGATAAAATAACGAGACAAACTTCAAAAACCCCCACCCAAACCCAGCCACCCCCCTTGCATTCATACCACAATCACAACCACAATCATCCACACATTCTCAGTATTTTGAACACAGACTATAGACAAAAAAGAAGCACAAAGCAAAAGAAAATAATAACATAAAAAATGAGAAATAAAATAGTTCTGATTTTTGGTAAAGTTAGCGTTAAAGGTACATTTAAGCTAACGCAGACAAGTTTCATGATTTTTATTCTGTTGTGTTGTGACTTTTTTTGACTTTGGAATTATTTTCTAAGAGACATTGACTGGGTCAGCTAAATATTTTGACATACATGTTTCTTATGTATACTGTATATATATGTAGCCATCATCACATTCATTTTCATGTGGGCCTGCTATAATATATATATATTTTTTCAAACCTTTGAAGATGTCAAAAGGCCAATAGGTGCAGATAAAATCAGAAGAGATAGCAAGCACCTGCAATATTTGTTTTCATTAGTGCCAAAATGCACATGCGATGCTGCAGAATCAACCGAGTATCACAAATGATGAAAATCATAATCAGCTACAAACTAGTGGGCATTTACAATTTTGCTTTAAAACGTCATGTAAAATGTTCAAACATGCATTGATCACTCTAGATATTCCGGTGAATAAAGTTTGATATGCTTACACACTAGTGCTATTGTCTCATTGGTTTTCCATAAACTAAATATTTTTTTCCCTGAAGCAGTACACGTCCAGCTCGTCAGGGGGAGAGAGCTCATGTGAGGAGGGCCGTATGCGGCGGCCAACTCACCTGCGGGCCTTCCATCACCGCGGCGACACAGACTCCGACCGGCCACTCCTGCGCCTCTCCAGTGACCAGGACGAATACTCAAGCAGCGAACAGTCCTGTGACACCGTGATCTACGTTGGCCCGAACGGAGCCGCTGTATCCGACAGAGAACTGACAGACAATGAAGGACCGCCTGAATTTGTGCCGATTATACCAGCTTTGCTCCGTGGCAAAGCACTGGAGCATCAAAACCAGACAGTGGGTGTTGCCAATAAGGTACTTAATAAAAGGGGAACTCCTCAACTGTCCTGGTGGTGCTTGGGTTCATCTAAATTCTGTTGTTTTGCCAAGTTATTTATAAAGTTTTTCAATAGATTGGGACCAAGGCAAGGCAAGTTTATTTGTGTAGCGCAATTCACACACAAGGCAACAAAAAGCAGGTCACCACCAGAACAGTAGAGGAATTCCCTTTCAAACACATCCACAGTCACATATTGAGGAGTAAATGTGTTGTTCTACCATCAGTCAGAGAGCCAGGACCAGCCTAGCGCCCAGTCCCACCCACAGTGTGGCCAGTCACTGCTGGGTCAGCCACTGCCTCCGGTCCCAGAGGAGGGGGCGGAGTGTTTGAAGTGTAACACCTTTGCAGAGCTGCAGGAAAGACTGGAGTGCATTGATGGCAGTGAGGAGG